CTAAAAATTAAAAACTTAAATCGATGTAATTTTTCGAGAAATGGGTCAGGCCCCAAATTTGAAGTATTTTCATCGATAAAATTGTCCATAGATTACGCCCTTAAAGTTTGATCACTACATGCCCGGACACACTGTATAAAGCTCAAAATTAGATAACCATACTAAGAGTTATTATAAAGAAGACGTTACATCTACTTACTAATAGATTTTTAATAGAAGAAAGCAGTATTTTATATCAGATAAAGATATTTTAATAAAGGGGATAATACTCCTACATTTATCGATATTTAGCAATGCGTATTTAATAAAATAAATATAATCATACTTACCTATTCTACCTACTCATATTTTGTAAATACACAATTTGCACTTTCAACTTTTAAACTCTCCCGCACTAAAAAAATCACGTAGCTACCTTATTAGGAAAAAAAATGATATCACTAAATTAATGTAACAATTAAATACGAGGTTTAAAATTATCTACTCCAATTCTAGTTTTGCACTTTTAGATCGTGGTTCCTAGGTTATCTTTCCAACTTTTCCCGGGACTATCTTGTCTTCATTATTTCAGTTTTTTGAATAAAAAATATTTTTGGCAATATTTTACGATATCCAAAAATATTACTTGTATAATCTTGAGACGTCTCTATGACCTGTAGAAAATAGAAATTGTTTCTTAATTTCGCTACTTGAAGCAATAATTTTCTTAATAAGTTATTTACTGTACAGTTAAGATTGTATTTTAGTGATATTTAGGTACCCTTAAGCGTTAAATACTAATAATATTCATAGTTGTAATTTAAATAATAATCTAGTCTTTACGTATAATAACCATTTTGGACAAATTGTAATCAAGTATCTGTGTTTAAACAACAATAAATCATTTGAGAATAAAATTTTATTTATTTTTCATCTTTACCCAAAATTTTAATTATCGTTATAGCGGGGGCCCCTAGGTAGTTGCTTACTCTGCCTAGTGGTTAATCCGGCCCTGGCCCCCTAGACAAAACGCACTTTTTGATCGAATCCGTCAAAACTCCATACAAAAAAGGGACTTTTTGACCACTTATCGACTGGTTTACGATTATAATTTGCACTTTGTCTAGACCCACTGGGCCCCCCGTACAGTCAACGTCAATAGATGGTGACACCCAAAGTGGTCAAAAAGTTGATAACACAACCTTATTCCAATTGTAACAAAGACTTGTTGCGGATTTTTTGGCTACTTTGGGTGTCACGAACTATTTGACGCTGACTCTTAAGCCTTGATCACACGTACCGAGCAAACGGGCGAGACAGTGCTCTCGGCCGAGTACTCGGTGTGTATGGACATTACGCAGAGTCCTCGAGTATGTGACTCGCTCACCCAACTGTCTCGACCGAGTAAACATTTTACTGTCTCGCCCGTCCACTCGGTAGGTGTGATCAAGGCTTTATGGCGGATTTACACTACGCGGAAATTAGCCGAGTCAAGTCAAAAGTGTCAGTGGAGTGGGGATGAAATTAATTCATTTTTCATCCTCACCCCACTGTATTTTTGACTTGACTTGGTTAATTTCCGCGCAGCAGTGTAAAAGCGCCATTATAATTGAGATGGTGGTAGCTCGCTCGCTGCCCTTGCAACTAAAGAAAAAGGCAGCTAGTTTAAAATAAAACACATTTTTATGCGAAGCGCATTTATTTATTTATTCATTTCAGTTACATAATCGAACAACGATCTAATTAATATTTCTCTTACAATTAAAACTGGATTTATAATATAAAAACATTTAACGTTACATTCCTATGCTACAAAAAATGTCGCAGTCAAAATGTTAAACTTGACTTTTGCCAAAACGCCCAAGTATTTTTTATAGAAAAAAATCAAAAAATACAGCGAGAATAAAACGTCTAGCTTTTTTTCAGGGACAGTAGGTGTAGCGGTAAGCAAAACTCTTTGCGCCGGGTATAGGCTACGGCGGTTGCGATGGTAACCAGGTTGTTGTTGATGTCAGGAGAACGTCAAGTAGTAAAATAGGAGATTTTACAATATATTATATTTTATTCAAAAGTGACTACGTGAGTTTCCATATTAAGCCACGTACCCTTTATTGGTGACCCCGATTTTCGTCCAATTTGTCTACAACTGTACTGCTTAATTGCTGCAAAGGACAAGGACTACTTTTACACCTCAGACCTGAACTCCCGACCAAGGGTCGAGTAACGAGTTCCAACTTCATTTTGGAACCGTATCACCCCGTGCCCGAGCTCACACCTAGAAGTTGACACACAATTTGTTCCGTGTTGCTTGCTCCGTGCTCCGTGTTCCGGGTTGACACACCACGCCGCGTTCACCACAGAGGGAAGAGGCGTTCACCTGCCTTGTGAATGCTGAGCACCTACCTGTTTGCTGGACAACGCGACAGTTTGCAAGTTTTTGAGTGTTTTTATTTTTATTTTTATTACAATATTTAATTATATTAATGTAAATAATTTTGTGTAATGGTGTACAGTTGTTTATATAGGATGGTTATCTTTAAAATTCATGTCTAGTTGCAATATTGTGAGCCGTAGCTATACAGGGTGCATTTTGTTTTTAATTGGCTTTGCGAATGTTGTTTTAGCACCGCTACCCCTTCACCGTTTTTTTTATAATTTGTGTTCGTCTTGAGGTTTCTTTTTTCATAATAGTGCATTAACATGTCGACACAGGATTTGGAACGTCAGATTTCTGAATTAAAAACCAAGCTTGATTCCTTACAGTGCCCATCACAAGCTTCACATGTATCTGCCGTGTCGGTTAAATTGCCACCCTTTTGGGCCGACAAGCCTACTACGTGGTTCGGTTTAGTTGAGGCACAATTTCACATAGCTGGTATTACTCAGGACATCACCAAATACAGTCATGTCATTTCCATGTTAGGCACCCGGGTGGCTGATGAAATCGAAGATATAATTGCGAGCCCACCAAAGGAAAACAAGTACGAGTGTCTCAAGGCTGAGCTTACGAAGCGGTTATCGACTTCGAGGGAGCAGCGGATTCGTCAACTTTTGGACGAGGAGCAACTGGGAGATAGAAAGCCATCACAATTCCTGCGGCACCTTCGCTTGCTAGCGGGCGACGTTCTGCCTAATGATGATTTCTTGCGGGAGTTGTGGTTAAGGCGCCTTCCACAAAACGTCCAGGTAATTTTGACAGCGCAGGTCGATTTACCTCTCAGTAAAGTGGCTGAAATTGCTGATAAAGTTATGGAGGTAGCTCCACCTATTATGGGATCTGTCGTGGATGCCGTTGAAGCGAATACGCCGACTTTGACAAGTTTAGTACAGCGAATTGATGCGTTGGCTGAAAAAGTGGAGGCTCTACGCTCTAGCAACTCTAGTATTCAGCGAGGTCAATCTTCGTCTAAGTCTCCAGAGCGTGTTAACAAGCGGCTTTGCAGATTTCATAAGCGTTTCGGTGAAAAGGCTCACAGGTGCATTTCTCCATGTTCTTGGGAGGAAAATGTCAATAAAGCAAAAAACTAGACAGGCAGTCATTGATGGCGGCATCTGACTGTCTAGAGCCCGGCCGCCGGTTATTTGTTACTGATGTGTCATCTAAGCGTCGTTTTTTGATCGATACTGGTTCTGACCTCTGCTGCTTTCCGCGTCGTCTTCTAAGAGGAACTCATTCCTCTTCAGATTATGTGTTAGGTGCAGCTAATGGGAGCTCAATCAGGACCTATGGCACAGTGACTCTACGCCTTAATCTAGGGTTACGCCGGGTCTTTCATTGGAACTTTGTAATTGCCGATGTCAGCATACCAATAATTGGATCTGATTTCTTGGCGCATTACAGTCTATTACCAGACCTTCGTAATAAACGACTAATAGACGGAACTACTAATTGCTCGACTGCTGTTTCAGTGGATAAGACTTCACAGGCCAGTATTAGAGCGGTGTCCATTAATCAGTCACCATTTTCCGAGATTTTGCTCGAGTTTCCAGATCTGACTAAGCCACCTGGCTTACCGCGAGTTGTCAAACACTCTACAGTTCACCACATTATCACAACTGAAGGCCCTCCGGTTTCGAGTCGCCCACGCCGTCTAGCTCCGGAGAAGCTGTTAGAGGCAAAAAGAGAGTTTGATGACATGGTTGCCTGCGGGACAGCACGTCCTTCAAGCAGTCCGTGGTCTTCTCCTCTTCATATGGCGCGCAAAGGAGAAAATGGTTGGCGTCCTTGTGGGGATTTTCGCGCTTTAAATGCCAGGACGGTGCCTGATCGATATCCTGTGAGGCACATTGCTGATTTTGCTAACACGCTATCAGGATCTACTATATTTTCAACTATAGACCTGGTGAAAGCGTACCAGCAAATTCCAGTGAACGAGGCAGATATTTGCAAGACGGCCATAACCACTCCTTTTGGGTTATTCGAGTTTCCTTTCATGACCTTTGGTTTGCGTAATGCTGGACAAACGTTTCAGCGTTTTATTGACGAGGTCGTGAAAGGACTCGATTTTTGCTTCCCTTATGTTGATGACATCCTTGTGTACTCCAAGGATGCAGTCCAGCATGCGCAGCATCTTCGTACCCTGTTTCGTCGTCTTGTTGATTATGGTGTGGTTATCAACACGTCTAAATGTGTGTTTGGTGCGCCTGAGGTAACCTTTCTAGGTTATCAGGTGTCCAAAGAAGGTATTCGCCCTCCATTAAAACGTATTGAGGCCTTAAGAGATTATCCTTTGCCATTGACGGTACAAGGTCTTCGTCGTTTCTTGNTGCCTTGTCTAGCATAAAAAAAAAAAAAAAACACCATACTTATGTCCATGCACCATCTAAGTGCACCATACACGATCTTAAAATGCTACCTAGCACCCTTTTAGCAACTCTAATTCGTTCAAGTATATGGCATGGCCATCGCTCTATTAAAATTAGTGAAAGAAGATACCCAGAATTCCTAGTGGATGAAGGATTTTTTGTAATAATTCTTCTTCATGCTACCTACTCTCTATTTTCACTAAAAATCGTTCCAGGTATTACGAGAACAACCCCAAAAGATCTTTGACTTCATAGCAAACTACTTATCAGTGCTGCTCATCACGAGGGAGCATGGCATCCTCTCCTTGAGAATACTTGAAGACCTATGCGACTGCAAGCCCTCGGTCACCGAACACCTGATGCAGTTGGGCATGGAGAGAGCCCAGGCTGAAATGCTGTCCCAAGTGATTAAGGAGGAGGTTGAGGGATTCGAGCCTATTGAGGGAAGAGGTTCGTTTATAATCATACGAAAAACTAAACAAAGTTGTATACTAAAAAGGAAATAGGTCATTCTACAATTATCTTCAGTTACAGGTTGTGGATATAACCTATAAGAGGCATAACTTTGCAACGTGCATAAAAGATTTGTCATATAAGTACTAAATAGAATAATTTGAAGACAGTACCTAATTATTAATTCCTTTTTCATTTAAAGTAAAACAAATATTTTTGTTAAAGAGAAAGTAAAGGAGATGCAAATAATGAAGAAGATTCTCCAAAGGACCGTCCTAGATGAGGACATGGCCGCCAAAGTGTGCCAAATCTCTAGAAACGCTTACCGAGACTATTGGTACCGAAAGAAGCTATTGGAGAAGGTACCTACATAAAATGGAATATGTATATCGTCGTAATATAGACGAATAGGCACTTTGATGTGTTTAACTAGGTACTACTACTATACCACATTTTCAGAGCATGAAAGTCCAACCTGATGAGCCTTGGGAAATTGCTGCACAGCATACCTTAGAACTTTACAAGAAGACTAAACCGTCATTTACTGAATTGACAAGAGCTACTGAGAAGATTCAGGTAATCCTTACAATAGGTATTCATGTTTTCAGTGTGTCAAAATAAATGTATCTTATTCTAACCTGATGTAGTTAGTTAAAATAAACGTTCAATTTACCCCTACCTGTAGACTTATCTTATATTTTAGGCAGCCTACAGAGGATACCACATCCGCAAGAATCTGCTAACTCACTTGAAACCGAAGAAAAAGAAGATGGGACCAAAAGTTGAACTACTTGGACCTCCAATTGACGTTGCAGCATCAAGAGAAATAGACCTTGGACCTATGATCGTAAGAGTTCATTGTGCAAAAAATTATAGGAGTTACTGTATTATTTCTTTCAATAAATATCAAAATTACGGGCGTAGTAAGCGCATATTACAAGCTTTTTGTTTGTCCAGGATATAAAAGTCCAAGAAGACGACGTCAATACAATGTTTGATGAATATGCCGGCGAAAAACTTGGTCTGGGCTATGATCCTATGAAGACAATAACCCACGTAGATGGTGAAGACTTCCTGCCTGAGCAAGTGGGGTCACGAGCCAGCCGAGCTATGAGCCAGTTCGCTGGTCTGCCATCAACCAAGAGCCTGACTGGGGCTGAGCTGACCAAGTCCAGAATGAGTCGCGTTGAAGACGTGGCAGAATCGAGGCAGAGTTGGGTGCCCAGTCAATTTGATGGTTAATATCGAACTAGTGAAACTGGTCAGAAAAAAAAGATGAACTTCATTAATATTCTTCTTCTATTTCACAGCAACGTCACGTCAGAGTCGCATGCAAAGTCAGATTTCCGAGAGTGGCCGCGTGAGCCGCCTGCCGAGCCAGATGCCTGTGTCTGCTACTGATTTGGAGGCGTCATTGCACAAGATTTCTTTCGCCGAGGTTATTTATTCTTTTTATAGTCCCCACTCATTTCCACTGCTACAATACTGGCTACACAGGAGTTGCAGCAGGAAGAACGAGAGGTGGGAATAGTCCCGGTTTATCTTTATTCCTTTTGATAAGATAGTGGACTTACCTTTATCGCGAGTGGGTTGATCAATGTGTCTAAATCTCTTCAATATTTGGTGACTCTTGGTTATAACGAATCATCCTAATATGTATGCCTGATTTGTAGTACTATTGAAGAATAGCACCCCAAATCACATAAGATTATCTCAAATCGTTTACGAATCTACAAATAGTTTGTCATCTGATAAACAGAGACCGCCAGAAGTGATACCAGACTTCGAACCTGAAGATGAAGCCGAGCCTGGCTTAGCCGAAGTTCAAGAGATTCAGGAGGTACAAGAGGAGCCAGGGATTGAACCGGCTGAGGCCGTGGAGGGAGAGCCCGCCCAGGAGGTGCCTGAAGACATTCCAGGTATGGTTTAAGTAAATGATTTATTTTAGCGGATTTGTGATTAAAATTACAACTACCAGCCGTGCAAATCGGATGCGTCTTATCATTTTTCTCACGATATGTCAACAAGGTTATCAAAAACATTGAAAAATGTCTGAGCAAACTTTTCCTAAAGGTATCGCATACGATAAAAATGTAGTATCTTTCAATACGTTACAGTAATGGCGCGAGGTCACTGCATAGAAAGTAAAACCATAACCATTTAGATTTGTTCCAGTAATAATCGTTTAGTCTGATGTATGTTGTGACACATGTACCTGTTCAAAACTTTATTGCCCAGAAAATTTATACAATAAGCAAACGTAATCCATATAACCTATTACCTACATAATAATATGGATGCCTGCATAGATTAACCGATTTGAATCTAAACATCTCCCTTGTATAAAGTTAATGATTTGATGTCCCTTAAAGCCAACGTAACGTTTAAGTTATGTTCTTTTTCCTACTTATTTTACTTTGCAAAACAGTGCCAAGATTACATTTTACGCAGTAACCAACACAAGACACAATGGCGCCACATAAAGTATGTTTAAGTATGCCTAGACTACAATCACGATTCACGACTAACAAACGATTGTTAGGCAACATATTACATCACCCCGAAATATGTTACGACGATTCTGCCATTCTTAATCTATCATTGCATCTGACCGTCCAAAAACACCGACTATATTTATTATGTAAGCTTGCAAAATAGACGTCCGTTGCGTACTTGAAGATATTTTAACATATTTGCGAAAGAAGGTCGATGCTATTTTACGACTTAGCACTCCAAAATGGTTTTGCCTTACTTTTACCTTACCTTAAATCTTAACTGCTCTCTCCCCAGGTCGTCTGTAAGAAATCGCTTCTTTCTTAGCGACAAAACCGCCTAAATTGAAATTGAGACAAAATTATTGACGTTTCCATCTCTTTTTAACTCCTTTAATGTACAAAGCATCTTTAGCAGTAGGAATTTTTAACTGGAAAACACATCATCACATCTTCAGTATTCATCAAAATGACCCTAAGGTTATTCAAAAACTTATCCGCAATTTCGCTTAAATACACATTCAAACCTAAACCACGGCAACGGTTACAAGGGTTGTCCTTGGGTCACATCGCAATAACCAGGTCACCAACCCCGTGTGGGTAACCCAAGGTTACCGATTGCGAAATGGATGACACATCGCCTTGCACTTGAATGTGCAACTAATCTGTTTTACCCAAAACCGACTCAGAGTGTCGCCTTTTTATAGATGTGAAATTCCACGAGGATAACCTCACAAGATTTTTATGAAAATATATTAAATTGTCTCAGTTTACAATATCATCCTTGTTGTCCAAGTGAGAATTTTTGATCCAGGGTAACATTTCGACAAACTGAGATCAATTTCCAGTGCTATTATAAAGATCTCATTCTGAATTGACCTGGATGAGGAATAAAACCTGGAACCCGATGCGACAAGGCGATCAAAGCTAGCATTTACGATCTGATCTCATCTTAGGCCGGCAATACACGGACCGCTTGAAGCAGTCAGGGTCGACAGCTTCAAGCTGCAACTGCACAGTGAACTGCAGAATTCTATGGACGCACATACACGAACCGCTCGAGCAGTTGCAACTGATTCGGACGGTCGACAGCACGGTGAATTTTCATCGTGCGGTCAAGCAGTCGCCAGCCATACACTGACTGCTCGAGCTGTCGACAGCTCTCGCGTAGTTTCTTCGCCCACTTTCTTCATTTCACGGCGCGCGCGCTTATGATTTGTTGAGCGGTTAATACCAACTGCTCGAGCAGTTATCATTGGCCGCTTCAAGCTGTTGACTCTTGACTGCAAGAGCGGTCCGTGTATGTTGATCACTGACTAACTGCTCGAGCTGTCCGTGTATTGCCGGCCTTACTTTATCTAATTAATTTCGTTTGTGAGTCTAAGTGACAGTTAAACTTGCCACCGAGACTAACACAGCCTTCATTGATTGGGTTTTGATGGCATCTAGCAGTAGACCCTGGATATAAATACAGAGGTTGCAGTCATAGGAAGAAAATGAGAGGTGGAATGCCGAGTGGTAACAACGAGAATTAAAAGTTGTTTTGTATGGCATCGAGCAGTATAAAGAATGTCATCATCATCATCATTATCTTTTCAGCCACAGGACGTCCACTGCTGAACATAGGCCTCCCCCAATGACTTCCACATCGCACGGTTGGTAGCGGTCTGCATCCAGCGCCTTCCTGCTACCTATATCAGGTCGTCGGTCCACCTTGTGGGTGGATGTCCCAAGCTGCGTTTTCCGGTGCGCGGCCTCCATTCCAGAAACTTGCTGCCCCATCGGCCGTCAGTTCTGCGTACTATGTGCCCTGCCCACTGCCACTTCAGCTTGCTAATCCGTCGGGCTATGTCAGCAAGTTTAGTTCCTTTACGGATCTCCTCAATTCTGATTCGATCTCGTAAAGAAACACCGAGAAATAAATAATAAAGAATGTAACTCTCAAAGGTTTAACTTACATGACCCTGACTCTATTATCACTTCTGTAGATGACCGCACCGAGGGTGATGGTGAGAGTGCACCGACAGCATCGGTCCCGTCGTCGGCTCCTGATACTGCTGACAACACAGACGTAGAGGACGCCGGTGCTGACTCCACTGGAGAAGAGGAAGGAGATTAGACTGATACGATGATAGAAAAACAGGGGCATGCATGTAGATGATTTGACCTGACAAAAATAGTCAGTAGTTTGTTTATAACTATCTACTGCTTATCTCAAAATGAGCCATATCGACTTATCGCAAACTTGCATGTATTTGCTTGAGTATAAATGAAGGTTTGTATATTTTTTTTTTGAGTTGGCTATCACGAATTGTTGCTGTTTAAGTATGTTATGTTACTTTGAAAGTTGTCGTTGCTTTAATTTTATTTTATTTAGTAAAAAATGTTCATGTGTTACGTTCCGTTTTAGTTTGTTCTTGCATGTAATTCAAATAAATGTTTACTTGAAATTAAATTTTGATATTTGGGCACTTCTTCGAAATCGCATTCTTCGGCTGATTCATATGGACAAATTTCAAATTCAATTTTAGGTTTGTAACATAGACTCATATGAAAATAGGTACACCCAATAACATATATTTGGATAAGGGACTCGTTTTTGTAAAGTAGTTTTCAAGATATCGACGTTCAAATATTTTGTGCCCATATGAATCAGAATTTGTTACATATTAATCAAAAATAGAAATAAAATTCATAATATTCATGTACAATTGGCTCTTAATTAAGAAAATAATCATATTATAACAAAAACAATGATCTGTTGTTATGAAAAAATGCAACGATTCCACAATAATTCGTGAAAAAAAATTTTTTTTGAAACTTTAGTATACATCCATAATATTTTCTCATCATCATAATCATTTCAACTGAACATAAGCCTCTCCCAATGATTTCCATAATGACCGGTTGGTAGCGGCCTGCATCCTGCGCCTTCCTGTGAGAGGTCGTTCTACACTGAGCTTTCCGGCACGTAGCTTCCACTCCAGAAACGTGGTATCCCATCGGCCATCATTTCTGTATACTATTTGNAGAAGGACAACTTATTAGCTTTCGAAATAATTTTAATTTATATTGATATTATATCATAAGGAAAATGCTACATCAACGATTTTGTTCCGGAAAATGGCTAACGGACACACCATATGAATCAGAGAATCACACTTCAAATATTTTTATTTTGTATAAAGACGGCAATTATGTAAAAAATGTAATTTGCGCCAGATAGGGCTATAGCTAAGCTATACGAAAAAAAATTTTACATGCCATTTTGTTAGTTGGTTACAGAACTATACCCAAAGACATCGAAAATTTTGCCTCCGAAGAAATACCCATTTTATTAACGCTGTGTGGTGACGGCAGAGTAGAATACATTATTGTCACCAACCCCTACTCTTCCCACGGGTGTCGTAAGAGGCGACTCAGGGACTACACATCAAACAGAGAACGGGCAGCAGCGCTCTCTAAAAACATCAATCTTTTAAACTGCGATCTTTGGAGATCGCAGTCTGCCCGCCTGCCAAGCGTGGGGATTATGGCAAAACCCTCCACTATAGTGGAGGAGGCTCATAGTCCAGCAGTGGACTGTAAAGGGCTGTTGATGATGATGATGATTAACGCTACCGTTTTTCTGGAAAGCAACAACTACACATTTCAATTAGGTATTCACATATTAGGTACTATTATGTATGTATAATATCCATATACCTAGCCAACTAGATTAATTCAATTAAAATTTTGTATAGCTAATGTACTACATACTTACTTCATAAATCTTGTGACATTACCAACACAATGAAAGACTTATTGCAGTTACAAGTAAAAGAGAGTTGCAGATTGGCTTTGCCAGAGGGCCTACAGGATTTGATGAGTGATATTTCCAGAGAGGTAAGTCGTGATGAGAATTTTAGATTTGGCCTAAAAAATTTTACTTGTTTCCTCAATATTTTCCTTGTGATCTCATGGCACGCAAACATTTTGACAATGTTTTTAAAGTCTAATTTAGTACAGTTTAATGCACTTACCATTTATGTGACTTCAAAGATGAATAAACACGAACGAAACCACATTGAATCGATAGTGAATAAACACGAACGAAACCACATTGATTGTCAATCGATAGCCATACTCCTTTTGAAGCGTGATTTAGATTACAATGATAACTTGAAAGCACACAAAACGTATGGTCACAAGTAGATTAGCAACTGGACGGCGCGCTGCGCGTCTATTCGAGCGCACAAAATGTTCGGTTACCCTCAATCATTGTTAATAATAAATTGACACGTTTCATTCCTGTACTTTTTATGTTTTTTTGTAATATTTTTTATCGTCGATGTAAGATAGAGCTGACTGGAGATAATATTAACGTAGTCATTTTTTTGGACACTGGCCGAGCATTCGAAACGGACACTATTAAAATCGGCTGGTAAGCCACGGTTTTCATGTAGCACGATGCTCATTAAATTAATTAGTACATTAAAAAAATCTTTATAAAAAAGGTGCTCCGTGCCCAGCCCTCGAACTTATGCCAGTTCATCGCCGACTACTTATCAGCGCTGCTGGTAGCCCGTGAGAACCTCACCATCGCTGCGAAACTGTGCACGGATGTCTGCGCAGGCTCATGCTACCCCGAGTTGGAGGACGAACTGAGGTTCTTAGGCTTGGCTGATGAAGACGCGAAGAAAGTCGTTAAATATGTTTTGAACTACTTTGAAGGCGGCGAAGGTAATGATAAATTTTCACTAAGGAATTCCCCAGCATAGTGTTTCTGCTCCTCAGATCATAGAATGAATCTAAGTTCCGCTCCCAAGAAAATAATTTTTAAATAGTACGCAAAATTCGTCATTATAAGGACCCACAAGGAGCAACGCTTCTTACAATTTTATCGCTAAGATCCTTGTCCTGACGGTGTAGTTTGCGTCTACGCATTCTTTATAGAGAAACAGTGGTATTTTTTCCAAAATTACAAATGATCAGGCTAATCAATCACCATAGCGTTTATGTTAGTTTAAAATATAATTTATTATGACCAGAATAATGACAAGTCTCTCAACTTTATTAACAGTGAATGAAACAAAGTTGATGATAAAAATCGCAAGCAAAACAGATATAGAGGAAAGTCAACTGTCCGCAATACAAGAAGCAGTGAGGCGGGCTTATCAGCGTCACATGATCAACACAACGACTGTTTACGAGGTATCGAAGTGTACTAATAAAGTTATTTATAAACCTAGTACTAAAGCCAAGCAAACACCGATTATCACCGAAGAAAAATCATACCTAAAATCTAAGAGCCCACCTCGCCCACCGCGACTTTTTGTAGCGATGCAGTCGCGCTCCTGTAGCGCGTTGACATCACTTCTGTACCTCTAGTACGAAAAACTTTCGAGTTCGTTTCGTTTGCGTATTCAAAGTGTCATCGAAAAATTTTGTATGAAAAATTAAACAGCGCCCCCTATATTATAGCCGCCCTAGGGGGCGCTGTTTAATTTTTCATACAAAATTTTTCGATGACACTTTGAATACGCAAACGAAACGAACTCGAAAGTTTTTCGTACTAGAGGTACTGTACCTCTAGCATGAACAACTTTCGTCTTCGAATCGTTTGCGTATTCGATAAAATTCGATACTCAGTCTTCGAATTAAACGATAACGTGACAATTTTGATTCTCAAAATTAGTTTCGTGCAACCACATCTCATACTAAGTTCAATTTACGACACGTTCACAAAGGCGCTGTTGTAGTTTTCTTACTAAATCTTTTGATGGCGATTCGAGTACGCAAACGATTTGAACTCGAAAGTTTTTCATGCTAGCCGTACTTTAGTGCGTTGCAAATGCGACTAACGTGCGTCAGTAGCGATGCTGTAAAAAGTCGCCGTTGGCCTAAAGTTTAATTTAAATGGGAAAGGTTACCTAAAGCTCTTGTTTGATACCTTATTGTCTTTGGTGACTAAGAAAATGTAGCCCCAAGGATTAAATAACAATGCTTACAAAACACTTAGTTTCATAGGAGATGAAGGAGACTCTAGAATAAGCATCTCTATTAGGCAAAGACATTTTAACCATCAAAAATATGTGCCTATTTTCCAGACATCATCAGATAGTGACTTGGACGAGGTATCGAGAGCTGCTAAGCACACCCTTCAATTATACAGGAAGACCAAACACACGCCTGAAGAATATAATAAAGCTGCCACAAAAGTTCAGGTTTGCTACTATTTCCTTAATAACTAGCTCTTTCATTTGATAACGCGTATGTTTTGGCTAGATACGTTTTGCAATAAAAGGATGTCTATATTTTCCACGCTTCATAATTCTTTCCAAAGTAGCTATCCCTGGTACTAATCCACATTCACAGATTTTATTCATGGCCAAGCTGTAGATCTTGGCCACAATGTAGATGAAAGGATGAATTAGTCCAGCATATTTTCGTTCCTACTAACGCTTATAAATTTAATTTATGTTCTTCATACAGGCAGCTTATCGCGCTTATGATGTACGACGTAAAAAATATCAGTTACAAGAATCTTCACCTCCACACGAGAAAGTGACCGAAAAAAACTTACGATTTAGTGCTGATGTAAGTTTCTTTCACCGTTTTTCAGGAGCTTGTAATAAAATGTACAAATCCAAAGCCTAATAAGTTAGAGACTTCTGATATGTTAAGAGGCTTCTAAACGGAAATTGCTAATATTTTCATCATTGCAGGTAAGCTCTCATGAAAATATGGCGCCGACTTCAGTAAAACCTTGTTGTAAGCTTATTCTGTAACTTATTCAGCCGTAGTAAAAATAATCAGACCAGTCAAGTAGCCTGTCAACTTTTTTCTATTAATGAGGTCGTGAGAGTTTGTTTCTCATTTCCACAATATAAAAGACCACATAATTAATCACTGATCATCAGATTGAAGTCAAACGTGGGTACTATCTATATGTAGCACCGTTTATGTATTTTTTACAGATTTACCAACAGTATCATCGACATCGCTCGCAGGATCATACATGAACCTCCCCAAATACGTTCCTTACTCTGTCCACGACTTATATCATGTTCCTGAGGATCCAGAGAAGGAGAACCACACCATAGACTACACAGAAGAGGAGGCATGCTCTTCGAGTCACAGGAGGATAAGTTTCCAGGAGGACCCTCAGGAAATCGAGGACCAAGCAATAATGGCTGATGATGAGTCGGAAAAGTCTGTTGATGAGGTCGTGTATGAGCATCATTATGAGACGGAAAGTGAAGGGAAAGTTGAGGTTGAAGGTGAAGATGATGAAGAAGCTGACACTGTAATTGAGGTAGAGACTGAACCTGAGTTAAAATTTGAGGTAGAAGTTGAGGATGAAGCTGAAACTATGATTGAAGTTGATACTGAATCTGGGTTGAAAGTTGAGGGTGGAGTTGACACCATGATTGAAGCAGAGACTGAATTTGAGTTGAAATTTGAGGTTGAAGGTGAGAATGAATCTGAAGACGATAACTGAATGCGAAGGCAATTGGAATCCATATTTGCGGTTAGCGCAAAAATGTATAACTTTTATAATTCATGTGTAATTTGGTCAATAAAGTAATGAGGAAGATGAAATGACAATGAAACAGACTTTCAATGGTATAACATAACGATGATTATGTTCTTAGCGACATATTTTGTGTATAAAAATTAATGCACCCTTTTGTAATAAATTTATTATACTCAAATACAGCACTAATAATTATGAATCCGCTACATCTACATACATAATATTTATTTTTGGTCATTAACATATATTTTTATTTTTATAATACACTTATGCTAGGTCATGTTTCTTAAATTCTTAGAACTAAAACGTGTGGGACAAAACAGTGCTTTTTATCCTAATGCTGTATTAAATGCTTTTTATTTTTATAAAAACCTGTATTTAATAGCTGCCTTGATGATAAAATAAAAATATACTTATTATAATTAACAACAATTTCAACAGCAAATTAAATTGTCAATGATAATGTCAAAATAAATTAAGTTACTGTGGAATGTAACAAAGTGTGTAGGATAAATTATGTTTTATTTATTATAGAGTATTAATTTCAATAGTCTCCTTATAACACAAGGAATAAGAAATATATTTAGCCTAGATACTTCTAGCATATTAAATGTTAGTATTAATTTACAATAACTTAGGATAGGTTAGTAGAAATCACAGTAGATCTCAAAACTATGAATTACTATAGGAAATTCACTTATTTTTATATTTTGTGACAACACACACACATTATGCTTCGTTTTAAAAAAATGTGAGTTCAAGAACCAATGAAGATTCTTTTTCTTTTTTAATTTTAATAAAAATGTATACAGAAAATAATAGAAAAAAATAAGTAATACGAATAAAATAGTCACTTTTCATGTCAACATTGTGAATAAAAGTGGAGCTTAAAGTAGACTAGTGAAGAATACTTATAGAAACAACGAATTGTTCGTAATATAAGAAACAGTACGTATATACAACTACCCTCTTACAAATATCAACTTTACAATAAATCCTTACAACTAAATTTTATGAAACTCGCTGAACAAAACGTAAAACATCAAAAATATAACATTCATTTATAATAACCATAATAAAATAAGCGAATCCAAACAGTATAAAAATAAAATAGATTTTTGAGCGAACAAAATGAGAGATCTCGTAAATATTATGCTTTGGTATATTCCAAATAGTTTTCTTAATGTATACTTTAACATAATTTGTCAATAAGTGAATAACAAAATGTATACACATACAAAATGCGATTTTTATTGACATTACTTAAAATTCCAATACAAAGCTTTATAATAGGCGTAAGATTTACTCAAATCCTAGAAAGGGGCTACACAAGTAATCTTAAATAGTGAGTATACATTCTCAGATAGTATCCACACCTCCTCCCATTAGCTTATTGCCGTATTCACTCAGCAACTGTAAAAAAACAAAGTAATTTACATTTATGTAATGTACTCGTGTATAAACGCCTGCTCGTTTTATGTCAGCAAACGTTATGTAACTTGTTGCTTTGGCACTACCACCAGGCGTTCTCTGGCATCTACGTGATAGTTTCTTGGTACGTACAAGAACCGCTCGATCAGTTGTGACCGCTTCATGCTGTTGGCAGTACGGTGATATTTCAATAAATTGACTATGGTTGCAAGAGCAATCCGTGTATGTTGATCATTGGCTAATTTATAAATCTTTGAACATCTTATAAATCTTTGGACAATTTCGCTAGGCCCAAAGTATCCGACTTATATTCTTGTGTTATGGGTGCTAGCTTAACGGATATACATACTACTTAGTATACTTTTTAAATACAAACATAATATAGTAACACCCAGACCCGTCACAATACTTAAAATCCGGGAATCGAACCCGGGACTTCTCGGCACAGTAGTCCGTTCTGAACCACTACACCAAACGGCCTAACTGCTCAAGCTGTTCGTGTAGGACGTGCATAAGATTCCCGTTTGCAAAATACTAAATATTTATCACCCACCTTGTATAAGAATATGTAGTGGTGCCTGTTAGACAGCGAGTGCGGTCTCTGCGCGCGCAGCTCGCGCACGACGCGCGGCACGTCAGCCGCGGCTGCGCACAGCGCGCGTGCACACACGTCCGCTGCGATCACGCACGCAGAGCGGCCCGCGCCTGACGCGCAAACCACCACGCACGGCCGGACGCCTGGGGACGAAGAATTAGGTACAGATGAAAATTATGTTGGAAGTTTACACAAAGTGCGAATCAGAAATAAGGAGCATCAAAGTAACAGCCTGCAGAACTGCCAAAAAGTGGGCACATAGCGTTCGCTGCGTTGATTAACTAAGGTTTCCAGTTAGGCAGAGCGGAGAAATGATTTGAATAACTTTCAACAATTTCATTCACTCTGAATGATATCTGATTGGTTGTTCAAAATATTTCTCCGCTCCGCCTTAGTGGAAACCGGGCCTAACAGCTCATGGTTACACCAATCAAGATCACTTTAAAATAGTCCTTCGCCTATTTGGGTGTGTGTTGACGAGCCGGTTTCTGCCATTCGAGTGGTGCCGATATATTTAACTAATAAACAGCAGCAGAAGCAGCGTTCATCCTCCCTAGATGCCGTTGTTGGCCGCACTCCAGCGTGGGCGCAGTTATAGAAGCTTGCACCGAGAGTAAAAAGACTAGGCTTTCCTAACTAAACCATATCCTCATCTTCAATCTCGGAAGCAGCCTTAATCCGTCACAGCGTGCCATTATTGGCGTTGCTCCTCCGCATCATCTCTTCAGCGCACGTTGACCCCGTTGCTTTTGACCCACGTTGTCAATCTCTGAGATAAGACCTGGTCCTTTGCCTGATAAACCTAACTAAACCATCTCCTCACCTAACTAAACCATATCCTCATCTTCAATCTCGGAAGCAGCCTTAATCCGTCACAGCGTGCCATTATTGGCGTTGCTCCTCCGCATCATCTCTTCAGCGCACGTTGACCCCGTTGCTTTTGACCCACGTTGTCAATCTCTGAGATAAGACCTGGTCCTTTGCCTGATAAACCTAACTAAACCATCTCCTCACCTTCAATCTCGGAAGCAGCCTTCATCCGTCCCAGCGTGCCATTATTGGCGTTGCTCCGGCGCATCATCTCCTCAGCTCGCGCGGGCGAGTACACATTGACGCCATTGCCCGCGGCGTCGTCGCTGCGCAGCTTCGACAGGTTATTGAACGACGAGCGGTTCTGGTCGCCGTATATTACTTCTACTCCTGGAAAAGGGGAAATGTTTGTGTAGATTTCTGCCAGTGGTCTGCAGCCTCGGCAAACGAATGTTGCATTGTCTATAACAGATCCATATTCTAATGTGCACCAGAGTTATTCCCAAAATCCCAATGAGATCGATCAGGGTTTTTTATATATGCTGTAAAAAGTATGCGTTATCATAAGCATCGAACAAGACCTCTGGATACTCTCAACTATTTGAATTATTTGAGGAGAATCTCCAAACTTATCTCTAATAGTTATATTACATTTAGGTACTAAATCATTAGGACTTGTATGATGCTTGATTCTTTTGCATAGGTTACAAAAAAAACTGATGAAGGTCATTCACATACCTTCTTCATCGTATTCTTTGGCAGTCTGCGAGATCTTCATATAGCTCCTCATCTCGGACAAGAAGTCTATGACCGAGTCATAATCATCTGGTACTCCTTTGGCCGGCCAGAAGTACCAGAGGTGGGTGACCTCCCTCCAGGTCCTTGTAGACAAGTTGATAAGCTGTACGCTGGAGACAGCGTACTTGTCTCGTTGTTCTCTCTTCTTGAGTATGATCTGGAAGTCTCCAAAGGTCCGCTTGTTGTCTGATATCTCGGACGGTGGGAGGTACTCGTAGCATTTTTCCTGAAAAAATAAAAATAAGACATTAGTTTTTGGGAATAGTTCCAAAATACTGAACTGTCCTATCCATGACATTGACAGAGGGGCGCCACCGTCAATACCGGATCGCTGGTTCCGATTTTTGCCATGTTGGAAACCATATAGTTGAACGATGGTAGCGCCCCCCTGTCATTGAGTTTGGTGGGACAGTTCAGCGTGGGTCATCTATACGTTTAAGTTAATAAGTAATTTAAATAAAGGCCTAGTGGTGGTTACATCAAATTGAATAGTGTGTTCTGATAATATGTGTGTTGCATAAGACATAAATTAATTATGTGTATGAATTATTGAATTAAAATATGTATAAAATGTATGAAATGAAACAACTTTCTTGAGCTGTCAAAGTAGAAGTGATGATTTTATTTTGTTTTGTAAAAAAGAGTAAAAAAACATTAAAACCTCTTTTGTTGGTTCTCAACATAGTTTCGCGCGCGAAACTATGTTGAGAACCAACAAAAGACAAATTTATGTTGCATAAGACATAAATTAATTATGTGTATGAATTATTGAATTAAAATATGTATAAAATGTATGAAATGAAACAACTTTCTTGAGCTGTCAAAGTAGAAGTGATGATTTTATTTTGTTTTGTAAAAAAGAGTAAAAAAACATTAAAACCTCTTTTGTTGGTTCTCAACATAGTTTCGCGCGCGAAATGATGTTGAGAACCAACAAAAGACAAATTTATGTTGCATAAGACATAAATTAATTATGTGTATGAATTATTGAATTAAAATATGTATAAAATGTATGAAATGAAACAACTTTCTTGAGCTGTCAAAGTAGAAGTGATGATTTTATTTTGTTTTGTAAAAAAGAGTAAAAAAACATTAAAACCTCTTTTGTTGGTTCTCAACATAGTTTCGCGCGCGAAATGAATGCGCGACACGCATAAAAATTAATCTTAATGGATATGAATAAGTATGAAACAAATAATTAACCTTACAATGAAAATAATTAATACTTGCAATGACTATTTAAATAAAATTTTCTAATTGTAACATAAATTATAACAACCTTGTAAAACTAAAAATTCAATCGACTGGTAAAACAATTATAGAAGAAATTGACCGCCTATAGGAACCTTTACTGGTTTTTACATTAACGACTCTAATCATGTTGTCAGGTCCAGCAAAAATCTTTTCTATTCTACCCATTGGCCATTGCAAAGGCGGACAATTGTCTGTTTTGATAAGCACTAGCATGCCTTCTTTTAAGTTTGGCAAAACCTTCAACCATTTAGTTCGGGAGTTAAGCATAGAAATATAATCTCTATTCCAAACGTGCCAAAAGTGCTGCTTCATTTGTAAGCATCTGCGCCAAAATCGCAGCCTATTAGTCGGAACAGGGGTAATGTCAGGCTCAGGTAATGCAGTGATTGGACAACCGATCAAAAAGTGACCAGGTGTCAAAAAAGAGAAATCAGAGAGATCCTGAGACATTGAAGTTAAGGGTCTAGAATTTAAAATACCTTCTATCTCTATTATTAATGTATTTAATTGTTCATAAGTTAGA